AAGCATTCAACTATAAATACTTCGGCAGATGGCTTTCGCTTGAAAAGCATTCCAACCAATTAATATTCCACTTGAGAAAATTTCGGGGAGGTGGCAGTTGACTAACAACATTTTGGCGACAATTACTCGCCCAAAGTGTTTCGACAGATAAGCGTTCGGCTTACAATGCTTCGGTAAATTGAAAGTTGGAAAATATACCTTTCGATTAATTTATATTTCCGTACATCATAAACGTCGGTAAAAGTCAACTTGGCCAATCACCACACGACTTTTAGCATTTCGCTTTTTTAACACGGCGGTAAAAAGCACGTCGGCAAAATATCATTTGTCTGAATCCGTTGGGCAAAAAGGTATTTGCATAAATGTGTTTCGGCTATTTGTCTGGATAACCCGTACATCACACTGCCACCTGTCAAGACCCATCGGTGTCCAAACTTCCCTCGAAAATGGAAGAAAAAACGTCACCGCACAGCAGGCGGAGATGCTCATGCATCGCTGAACGGTGCTTTGTGGGTTTGCTAGTGAGATGTTCGTAAAATTTTCAGCACAGAAAGGATCACCGGAACCAGATCACCAGATCACCACGTGCAGATGACGTTACCTGCACGGTTGATTCCTTACGTGTTGCAGATGGCGCCACAGCTCCCTGTGGCGCCACCGGTTGACTAACCGGTAGACCGTCACCTGTCGCTCTTAGGTGACAGCCTCTGGGACGTAGCCGTGACGACACGTGTGACACGTGACGTGCTGCCCAACCACATCTTTCTCCGGAATCCAATGTGCACAGTACGAGATAAATTACTGCCTGACGGGATCTGGCTATAGACTAGCACATGCAGGGGCGACACCACTGGTTTTGAGTGGGGGAGGAGGGCAGGACTTTATAGGGAGCCCCCTGGAGAAAATAGTGTCTTCTCACAGGGGGTATCCTGCGCAGCGTCGTATTCAAGAAGGGGAGCACCGAGGACATGTGCTCCCTTATCAAACTGTTGCAAGTATCACATAAAAAATGAAATGTTGACAACTAAAATAAAACTAGAATGTAGCCTTCTTATTATCTAGCCAAGAGTCTCACTAACCTAACACAGTACCTCCTGTTACAGAAAAAAACCTCCTGGGTTAAAGAGGGGCACACTTATTCAGAACAGAATGCTTATGATTCACGAACGGGCCTCCAAATCTAGCCAAGGGGTCTCGCTATCCTAAAACAGGGCATCCTGATCCTAAAACAGGGCATCCTGATCCGAAACCGCGGCCATCTGATGCATAATAGGTGCTTCCTGTTCCAGAAGTGGGGCGTTCTGAATATAGAAGGTGTCTCATAACACAGAACGGAGGCCTTCTAGTTTGTAACGGGAGCGCCCCGAGCCAGCAAAGCGCCGTCCTTAACACAACATTGGGTCCCCTAATCTAGAGCATTGGCTACTGTATTTATAAAGTTGACCTCAGGATCCAGAAAACGGGTTTCCTGATGTAACAAAAGTTTTATGGGCTCCATTTATTATTTTCTAGCTCGGTTATGTACGCTTCCTTGATCTGGATTTTGTTACTCTACGATTGGCAAAAACGATTTTAGTTGAGAAAAGGGACCTCTCAAAAATTGGGGGAGGGCAAAGGCATGTTCTTGGCCCCCTTGCCTGCCGGCCGGGAAGGGGGACGGAGAAACGGGAGGGCAACTGCCGCTTTGTCCCTCTGCTGCGCCGCCCCTGGGAACATGCAGAGGCGCAACCTGAGCCCTGGAAGGGAGGGGCACAGGGTGGACACAGGCCCCTTGGTAGTGAAAGCCCCTACCCCAGAAATAAACATCACCGGATCTGGCCCACTCGATTGTGAACTGGATACATGATGTTCTTGCTTTCTTTGTGTTTTTAACTTCTTAAACTGGAACAAACGTTATCTTTTTTTGGCTCCTGAAAGTCAAAAAGAGAGCTTCGAAGCTTCAAAGCTATCGGAGGATATGATTCCGCTTGCATTTTGACGTCAATGGACCGAAATGAACCCGGACGGCTGTTCTCATGACCGAATCGAGGCTCTTGTTCACACAGAGCACCATGTTAGGCAATGGGCTGCTGATTCGGGGCTCCTAGCTTTGCTCCTGCTTGAAAAGTGGGCTTCCAGGGCTAAGGTCGATACGTGGTTAGCTGTTCGATGTTGACAGTTTCTGGCCGAAAATAGGGCCTGCATTGTCCCAAGAGGTTCTCGATCAGTGCAAGAGGCCTTATGACTGGCATTTGATGTCGCGGCCTTACGGGTCGGGATCTTCAATATGACCTACAGCCAGCTCTTTGGGCCTCCGACCATAAGCCTTCCAACCGGGCCCTTGATCGTGGGTCCCGAGGAGCTCATCATGCCCCTGCTCTGGCACCCTCGACCACTGCCCTTTGCCAACACGGAGCCCTTCCCAGCACAGGAGCCTGCTAGGTGCTGTGGGCCCCTGACCGACATAGGGTGCCCATCATTGACTCAGATGCTCCCACCGATCTAAATCACAAGCCACAGCCTTTCCTGCTTGGGGGATGTGTCCTCAGGCCCAGGCCGACGCGTGGTGTCCTTGAATGTTCGGTACTGGCTGTGCCTGACCAACCGAGAGGCACTCATGGCCCCATCGGTGAGCCGACGGCCCTCACCGATTGGGGGCCATCGGCTCCCCGAGCTCCCCCCAATTGGTGCAAAGCCTTAATTGACGCATAGGGGCCTACGAGTGGCATTCGAGGGCTCGGCCGCAAGGTCAGGACCCCTAATATTACTTCTGGTCAGCCCGACGTCCTCCTGGTAACTACAAGTTTTTCTCGGTCTTTTCAGTACGTACGGTAATTCCTGCACTATTTGGTAGCAATATTGCAACTCGGGCATTCTGCTTGATATTTCTGGCGCATCAGTATGTTGATGCGTGCGCGGTCGCCGTCGTCCGTGCTACGTCAGGGAACATTGAGGTACGGGCTTCGGCAGAGCAATGGGAATAGATACCTTGTGGTGCCTGCGCCTCCCGGCGGGGTGGGAGGCGGCATCAGAGGATGGGTGCATTGTAGCTATACGGCCTTGGTGCAGCCGGTACAGCCCCAATGACAGACTTTTGACAGACACACGTGCGCGGATGTGTAAGGGGTGTGCGGCCGAGGAGGCAGTGGGCTGCCGCATCATGGAGGCATACGACTAAAGCCGGCGAAATGGGCGGATATTTTTTTCGTTTTTGCTGTCACCTTACGTGAGCGCAGGTGATTGTTTATGTTTGAGCCTTGAGGGCATTTTGTGGTGGCAACAGTGGTGGCTGCCTATGCTGGACAGAGAAGAGAGCACAACACCTTATATTTTGAAATGGTACTTTCATGGTTATTCAATGTAGCATTATGCCTTTGAGTCATGTCCTATGTTTCTTTCATTCATTTCAAAACTGTTAAATGTAGTTTCTGCTAGTGTGCCTGTTCCAATGCTGCATCATTTTGTCCATTGATGGTTAGGACTGGTAATACCAATATCTCAGCAATCTGTAACCTCATCAGTGTGCTTTCTTGGGCTGTCAAACCATTCAATGATATTATCATGTCAAATAATCTCATTGACTGGCTTGACAACCATGGCTTGTTGAATATGTTCAAAGGACAGCTGGTGTGTGGGATATTGGGATATAATAGCAAATTGGGAGGCAATAATAACCCTTTTACATTTTGTGACAACAGCTGAAGTGTTACCACATTTTAAGACCACATTCTGTATGTTACCAGTACCACCATCATTTTACCTCCCTGAACCTTTAGCCTTCAGCCTGTGGTGTGGAGGCTTAGTTTGTTTTCATTTTTCAAGTGTTTTTGATCACAAGGAAATAATTGTGAGAAGAGAGGAGGTGACAGTTCTTAGTTTGATTTGTGATTTTCAATTAATGTGAGTGGCATTTTACAATAAAGCAGGACCAGAGATAAGTGCAGAACAAAGTCCTGTGTGAACTTTATTGTTCAAGTGTGACTCCCTTTGAATCATTTAGATGTAGACATGTAGCATAGAGTAGTTCACAGATAAGATTTTTGTAAGATGTTGCTAGTTGCTAGCAATAGCTTGTGATCATAATCAGAAGGAAACCATGTCAGTTGTTTCAATTATATGATAGCTTGATCTAGTGCTTGTTGACCAGGCTAAATATTGGCAAGCTGTTCTGTTAATGTATACCTTGCAACTTCTTCATTCTCCCAGTCAAAAGTGTGCTTTGGAAAGTTTTTGGGGTGTCATCTCAAATCATTGTCAATGACAAAGATCTGTCTGTTATCTTATTATCTTGATGTAATAACCACCATCCCTGTGTGTCTATTACTCTGTCCTGTAAGAAATGTAATGAATGGCTGGGTGTGCCACCTTTGCTGGACTTTCTGAAACAGCAAGCTGATATATTGCAAGTCTTTGAAAGGAGTCAAAATGAAAGTGTGAAAGATGCCAAAGTGTGTGGAATGAAAATTGGTGATTGGCAGCAATTAAAAGAAACCTGCATTTTTAGAAGGATACAGAAAATTTTGCCTTGTGCATTAGGCAAGGTATTATAAATAAAGTCACTGCAATCCATGACTATTTGAACAGCTATATGGCATAAGTATAGATGGAAATGTATAGATATCTGCTTGGTTTGCTCATGACAACCAACAGCACGTTATCTGAATTACTAGCTGCAATGGTCAGGATTATTCTGTGAATGATGTCAAATGGTACATTTTTAGATTTGGACCACCCAGGGATTCATTGTTCCACACAGTCTGTTTGTTTGCATGTTCCTTTGCCTTACTGGCTGCCATGCTGTATACACGCCGATCGCCACGATCCGACAGCGGCGAAGGGTCCGAAGGGGCCGGGACGGCCCGCGTGCCGGGGGGGCCAGGCCTTTGGTGCTGCCCCCTACCGGCCGGCCGGTCGGACGGCCGGCCGGCCGGCCGGCAGGGGGCCGGCGCCACTCAGTCAGTGACTGCCGCGCGGCGCGACTGCCGCCAGTGCTTCCTCCGTCCTTGCTCCGTCCGCCTCGACCGCACCGTCAGACAACATGTTGGAGTGTGAAGAATGTGAGTGGTGTGACCTGCTGACGTGAGGCCCGGGCCGGGGCCGGGGTGCTGTCATATCACCGTACGCGGCATGGCTGGCGGACTGCTGTCATGCCGCCGTACGCGGCATGGGCTGGCTCTGAGCTCTCGCCGTATGCGTGGTGGTGGAAACATTCTATGATGTGTGTGTGCGGGGAGAGGTGAAGTATTTCTAAAAAAAAACATGTTGAGCGGCATCGTGATCCGTGATGTGGATTCTCAGATGTTTACCTTCGATGCTCGCGCCACCAGGTCTCCCTGAGTCTCACTGCCTTATTCAGGTTTACTCGTCACATCAGCGTGCTCTGGTCCTCGCAATCAGTGACATTTCATTTCACGTTTCTTGATGGGATAGCATCGGGCGTAATAGCGCAAGCGGTTGTTAGGCTGCTTGCTTTGTGCATTAAGTGCGTTTTACGAGAGTTGATGTCATGGGGTTGTCTGAACTTAAACGTAGCTTTTTTGTAGGACCTTGGGTGATGAATTCGTTGTTGAATAGCTACCAGCAATGGACGGAGGCTCCGGAGCTTTACCCGATTTCCATTCAATAGCCGGCGCTTCGCTCATTAGCTCAGTAATTTTGTCACATAGTGGCGCTTAGCCGGCCACTTTGACGTGCAGTTATGATGTCGCTCTAGCTTTGCGGTGGTTGGGGGGGGGGGGGGGGGTGATCGTAAAAGTAAGGAGCATTTCAGCATTGGAAAAAGTTCCGCCCAATGGTGTGCTTTTGGGCTCTGGCAGCAATGCCGCCTTAAATATGGGAGACTATCCGCTGCGCGTGGGGCAGATGTGCCGTTGGCGCAGGACTGCGCGTGGGGCAGGTGTGCCGTTGGCGCAGGACTGCGTGTGGGACAGATGTGCCTTTGGTGCAGGACTGCGCGCCTGGTGCCCGGTGACCCAGGTCACCGTCTCCGGCTGTAGACACCGAGGAGGCAGGCTGTGCCACGCTTTTTCAGTTTGGGCGGTTTTTGGCGACGCATCAAGGGCGGTGTTAGTGTTTCACAGTCGCCATCACGTACGGCCTTTTTAAAAGTGAGAGGTTCTTAAGATATGGCGAGCTTGACCTTTCCTTTTTGCATGTTACATGTCGTTTGTGTATTGCAGGAAAGTTTTGTCCGATCATTAAATCTTCTATTCGGCTTCAACGTTGTGAATGGTTGCGCTTGCCCGATTTTCCTCCTCATCCGAGCAGTCGCGTTGGCCACGCATTGTCCGGCCATACTGCTGTCGCCACCAGCACCAGGGGAAGGACGAGTCAGTGCACCTTGCAGGGCCGGTTGCATACGTTGCATAAATTACGAATGGTGGGTGCGCCTCTTGCATGGGCAGGTCCTAATTTTGGAGTGGTCCCTTCCAGAGGAGCTCCAATATCTGATTGTGGTTGGGCTGCATGTCAACGTTTGTAAATGCTAGCGTCATTAAAGCCGCAGCTCTGCGCTCGAAGCCGCCAAGTGAAACTAACCGGCGTGTGGAGACTAAACCTGAGGTAAAGAAAATGATACAGATGTTTTCAGACGAAGAAATAATGATCCTCGTCATCCAGCCATTGATACCAGAGTGTCTGAAAGGTCTACATTTGAGTTTTCCGGTAGCTCTCAGGGTACTACTCTGAAAAGGCGGAGACAAACACTGGGAGCAAGGCTCCCAAAAAGATCCAGAAGTCTACCAATAACCAAAGCATGTTTTTACGGCCCAACCCGACCCATTGCCGAGCTACTAGAATAGTGTCCAAAAGGATTTGGGAGTTATGACGGGAGACAGTGGCGGCTGGGGATGAAGGATTGGGGCCGGGGAGATCAGAGTGGTGGCTGATGGGGAGGGAAGTGGGATCTGAAGAAAGGAAATTTATGTCTAGGGAAACGAAAATAACGTCAGTAGACGGGAATAATGTCTGGGTAGATGAATGTAGCCGCCGGGGAGACAACAGTAGCGGCTGGGAGGAGATGAGAGGCAGTGGCTGAGTAAGCGATGATGACAGATGGGGGACGGAAGCGGCGGCCGGGACGATCGGTGAGCGATGGCTGGACGCCGGCGGCCGCCTGCCGTCCCTGGGCGCCATGATCGCCGCTGTGGGCTGCTGTGGCTGACACCGAGCGTTCGCCGCAGACGGCCAGATGTCGACGGGCGCCCGCAAGGTGTCGTTCGACGGCGGCGTGAAGGCGGAGCAGGACTCGACCGTCGGCGTGTCGGCCACGGCAGAGCCGCCTCTGCCGCGGGTGAGTACCGCACCGCCGCTCTCGTCACACGCGCACCGGCTGCATCCGACGCGGTCGGCGAACAACGGCTGGCGCTTGGCACACTGACGAGCGTCGCAGGAACCGCGACGACAGCTGTGGCGGACGGGGATAACGGGCTTGAGCCGACCCGGATGGTCGAGCTGAGCTGTCGAAACCCTGGCAATGAAGGGGGAGGGGCGTGCCAAGACGTGAGATGTGAAAAGCCGCGAGATCACTACGGGTTTGGTATGGAGGAGAGAATCCTTGAGCACGTGTCCAGTGTTGGGCGTGCCCTCTTTTTTCGGAGTCGAGTACTGAGATCGCACTGAGCGGGAATGTATGGTATTCGCGGACGGCTGCTGCTGCGCTCGGATGGCTACAGCCGGGCGGTCGCCAGGGACGTGGCGCGCCGGTGGGCACGGTCACAGTATGCAGGGCAGTGAGTGACGCCACCCTCGGGGCGCCGCCATGATCAGCACTGGCCCGGTGTCGTGGCGGGCTAGCGGCCGGTTGCCAGGCGAGCGCGTCTGCCGTGACCTCGCCGCCGCCGCCGCCGCCGCCGCCGCCGCCGCCGGCTGAGGCCGAGGAACGGCACCTGATCGCCGCGGCCGACCGGCGTCGCCGCTACTGCCGAACGTGACCGGTGTCGCCGGTACTGCCTAGTGTGGCCGTTGTCGCAGGTACTGCCGAGCGTGGCCGGTGTCGCAGGTACTGCCGAACGTGGCCGGTGTCGCCGGTACTGCCAAGTGTGGCCGTTGTCGCAGGTACTGCCGAGCGTGGCCGGTGTCGCAGGTACTGCCGAGCGTGGCCGGTGTCGCAGGTACTGCTGAGCGTGGCCGGTGTCGCAGGTACTGCCGAGCGTGGCTGGGTGTCGCAGGTACTGCCGAGCGTGGCCGGTGTTACCGGTATTGCCGAGCGTGGCCGGTGTCGCCGACACGGCCGAGCGTGGCCGGTGTCGCAGGTATTGCCGAGCGTGGCCGGTGTTACCGGTATTGCCGAGCGTGGCCGGTGTCGCCGACACGGCCGAGCGTGGCCGGTATCGCAGGTACTGCCGAGCGTGGCCGGTGTTATCGGTATTGCCGAGCGTGGCCGGTATCACCGGCGCGGCCGAGCGTCGCGTGTCGTCTGTTTTCCGCATCGTGTCAGTCGACTGACGAGTACCCTTCACGGGCGCCTGTGGGGACTTTTTTGTCCGCTTAAGGAGCGGGAAATGGGCGCTCGCCAAGCGCGTGCGGTGCTGCGCGGGTACTTTTACTTGAGTTGGTCGGCGCCGCCGACTCGCGGCGCGTGTTCGGTGACGGGGTGGCGGCGGCGTCCGTTACGCGGACCCGAGCGTGTTGACGTAACTGACGCACAGCCCAGTCGGAATGCCAGGCTGGATAATTGAGAACTCATGGCAAAAAGTCACCGTGAACATGCTAAATGTCAGGACTTTCACAGACTCCGTACGACGATACGCTGCCAGGGATCGACTGTAACATTGCAATGATTATTTATCACGATGTGGAACCGAGTCGGCCGGAATAGACGGGTTTTGTCGCCGAGATGTTTTATGTCTGGATTCGGCGAAAAAGTTGCAAACAGATATCTTTGCTTCGCAGTGCCCCACGAATTTTCGTCTTTTTCACTTATCCAACCCTAAAATCAGATGTCGTGGAATCCGCGCGTTGCGTGTTGCATGTGGTGAACCGGTTAGTATTTCCACTGACCACATAGGGTTGAAGGAATGAAACCATTGTTTCATGGCAAACCCGTTCCCGCGCCTCTTTTCCGTGCGCGTCCAGGCGGCCATTTTTGTAACATTGAATCATGAATTTGTGAGGAAAGGTGAGGTAAACTGTGTCGCCAAAGCAACGTCACATTACTCTTGATTGGTGTAATTTATATTTGAATGAACAATGTCACAGTGCAGTCACGTTTAGGTTCTTTGTTAGCGTTTTTCACCATTTCGTTCAGTGCACTTCAGCAATATGTCAAATGGATTATGTATTAAAACTTGCAAAGTTTACATTCCCAAAAAGGCGAACCAAGGCGAACAAAATGAACCATTTCGCGCAAATCTAAATTCTTAATGTTTTCGCGTTCGTGTGTTTCGTTTTTTTTTTAATCAGCACCTAGTGCGCTCCTATGCGCAGTTTATTTCTAAGTGTTTATGTAACATACTTACCCCGCGAATGTTTACACAAACAGTCATGGAGCGGAAGAAGCCGGAACACGAATGTAGAGATTTTGGGGACACTGGCAAAGCGATTTCACTAATTGAAAACGGTTGACAGTCGTAGAGGTCACCGTTTTTACAAATGATGATTGGCATTGAGCCCCTGGTTTTCGGCATTGAGTTAGGTGATCGTGTTTTGATAATGATAGAAAATCGACCTTCAGTATACCAGTAGGTACAGGTAAATCGGCGCTATCAAGGAAGAAATGGCTACATTGACTCTAGTCAACATTTCAGGTTGTGCTCATGGCCACGAATCAGTGAGCACCGCTTGAAACGTTGAGTGTAGCCAATGTTGCCAAGGGTACCTTGATTTCGTCGTGAATACTGCTACCTCCAACTATATTGAAGGGTGATTGCTGTCAAAATATGATCTTCCAACTCACAATAATTCATTTAGATAACGCGTACAGGTATTGGGATGAAGTGGGCCATCACTAGTCCACTTCGACATTTAGCAAAAGCATCTATGGAGGGCAGCACGTCAGATATGGCTGTCATCCTCTAATGTGACATTATTGCGACTTCGTCGACTACTGACACCAGATTAATGATAGCTCAGACCGGCATGGTCTGTATTGCTCATCTGTTCCTCAAGTTCATAACATTTTTCGTACACTATATTTCTCCAGAGCTCTGCAGCACTTTTTACTGAACTTGTCGCCATGTACCAGAATACGACGGTTTAGGAGCGATTGGCATAGCATTGCACCAGTTCCAGTGGGAACACCCACCGGGCCGAGAGGCGTTCCGCAGCCCATTTTACCTCGCATCTTCGTATGCATAGAGTGGGCACGTTTCACTCCGCGAATAGTCGTAAAGGAAAGGACTGGGATCGTTAACATGAAAGGAAACAATTTGTCATAAATGTTACAGGAGATTATTTCTTGTCTGTGATGTGTTCCATCGGGTATCGCATCACATCAAGAGTGCTTTTACAGATGGTCCTTGTTGTTGAGGCTCTAGTTTTTGGCATTGAATCGATTGATCGTGTTTTGATAATCAGAAATCGACCTTCAGTGTGCCAGTAGGTACTGGTAAATCGACGCTATCAAGGAAGAAATAGCTATGTGAAATGGCCGGCTCGCCATTTGTGAGTGAGATAGGAGGGTGGCGGAACACACAGCTTTTTTAAAAGAATGAGGCCGACGTAAAACAGAAGCATAAGCAACCACACATGTCTGTAAATGTGATGTGGCCTTGTCGTACGCGGCTGCTTGAGGCAGCTATAACCAAGCGCTTTAACTTCCAATGATCGCCCGTCAAGTTACAACCTTTGTTCTCTCACAGGCATAGTAGCACGGGTGCGCGGTACCGATCACGTGGTATTCTGTTTTCTCTCAACACCGTTGGTCTTGAAAAGGTGAACGCGCCGTGCCAATAAGCAGTCAGCCTGCAATAATCAATGACGAAATGCACATTTCATATATGTAGGGTTCATGACGCATCATGGGTGTTCGCTAAGCCGACAGCGCCGGGTTAAAAGGAGCAGCAAGTCTTGAAGGGCTATTTTAGGGGGATCACTTATTTCTTTGTAAACGGATGAAAGCTTGCAAACCGGATTTGTAAACGGATGGAGACATTGTTTGTGAAGATCCAGTAATTACATGGACCACCCGACTGTTGCTCTCAGCGAGTTTCCCTGCGGAGCACAATGAATGGTCCGGCCCTAGCCTACCCGTGCTTAAAAGCGATAGCTAAAAACTACATCCCCGCGTAGTTTGCTTCCGGTGTGCTCCAAGCGCGAGCCGGGCCCGCTGGCGGTCCGTCTTAGAAAGAGACGCTCCGTTTTGTCGTCGCCTCGTCACCAGAGGCGCTAGCCTTGCCCCCGGTGTGGTATAGGTGGCGCTGCCAGCGCTGGGCGACAGGTCCGCAGCCCGCCATTCGCTGGCTGTGGTTCACCGGCCTTACGGCGGGCTGCCGCCTCACGGACCGCGCGGCCCGTGAGGCCGCCTCACGGACCGCCCCGAATGCCCCCATCGGGCCCAATCTTCCTGTTACCGGGCGCGGTTCGGAGCCGGCTTTAGGTTCATTGTCAGTATCCGTGCCGGCATCCTGGACCGTCCCTGTCCCTGGCGTCCCGGACGCAGCGCTGTGGGCTATTGCCTCACGGCAGAGTGAGTGCCGTGCCCGGCGCTGGCTATTCGATGATCTTAACCCTCTTCAGCGACTGATTTACCATGTTGTTTACAGAGCTGGAATGTGATAGTGGTGATGCATTTCTGATCAGTTCAATCGGCACTTAATTTACAGAATGATGACCTGAACTTGTGCGGTAGACCAGACCGTGCACCACTCGCAGGCCAGCAGCACGGCCTGCAGGAGCTCTACGACGGCTGCTGGCATGGCATATTCAAGGCTGTAAGGCGCCTTTCATCGCCCCGTGAATAACAAAGCGACACCTAGTCATACCATGATCAGTATGCTGTGATCAGGGCGCCCGCGTCCGACGCCGCCGTGTTACCGGGTGGTACAGCGTCCTGACCTCACCACTGACGTGGCCCTCGGGAGGGAGTCGGCCGCCTGCAGCGTCCCGGCCGCACCGCTGACTTGACCCTCGGGAGGGAGTCGGCCGTCCGCAGCGTCCCGGCCGCGTCACTGACGTGACCCTCGGGAGGGAGTCGGCCGTCCGCAGCGTCCCGGCCGCACCGCTGACGTGACCCTCGGGAGGGAGTCGGCCGCCTGTAGCGTCCTGGCCTCACCACTGACGTGACCCTCGGGAGGGAGCCGGCCGTCCGCAGCGTCCTGGCCGCACCGCTGACGTGACCCTCGGGAGGGAGTC